GTTGTATAGAACGTGACGTGCAAAAAGAGGAGGGAAGGAAGCAAAGCCAGGAACAGATGAGTATGTCCTTAGGATTAAAAGGAAGAAAGAAAACATGAAATGTACCATAAGAAAAGAAACTTGTTACAGCATTTGAAGTCAGCTCAGGGAACTTCAAATGGCATCATTGATTCGCAATCCTTTTTTCTTTTATTTTTAGACGTAAAATTTCATGGCTTGCTTTTGCTCACCCTCTTCGCTCCCCTTTCCAATCACAAATCCACACGAACACACATATAGGTACACATCTACCTCTTTGTTCTTCATTAATCTATATATGCACTTGTGTTTCTAGCCTATGTGTTTACAGTCACTTACTTATCAATATTCAAATTTAGGTGAGAAAAGGGAATGTCAACTCCATTTAAAACCCATCTTCCCTTCTGTAAAAGAATGATCTACAGAAATGTTATCCTTTCAAGACTCTTCTCAGAATAGTGGGGGGAAAATGCTTCATGTGTTTTCCAACATATAATAATCCTCGAAATTCTACATTCTTAAAGTCATAAAACACTCAAATTTAACACATTTTCTAAATTTTACTTTCTGTATCTCATATAAAGGAAGAGAAAGACAGATATAATGATTATTAAGGTAGCAGTCTTTTTTTTTTTTCAATTCCAAATAGGGCACTGTTGTCATATCCTGGAGAATATTCAAGAATACACCTGCTGTGTTTAATGAGCAAATATTTAGGTGTTAGTGAATTGATGTGCTATTTCTTTAAAGTTACAGTGAATGGTTCTATGTGAATTAATAGTTGTTTGAATGTATGCATGTGCCTGGGTGGATGGGGGCGGGAGTTGGGGAAGAGAGAAGGAGAAAATGGGAGAAAGAGAGAGAGAAACACCAAGGAAGTGTATTTAATTTCAAAGAGCTGCTTGCTTCCAAACGCCCGGCTGACCTTGGAAACCTTAATGACTCAGTGTTTTGGATGTGAACGCTAGGGATTTCACCAAAGCACGGAACTCTGAAGGCACTGGACTCGGAAGGCGGCACCTGGCGTGCTTTAACTGGAGTTACTCCTGACTAATTTGCCTCTACATTAGAGAGCACAGAAGAGAACACTTCCCTCTTGCCATTAGCTCAGGGCTCTTCCTTCTGACTTAGGAAGAAATATTAAAAGAACTAATATGTACAACCTGAGTAAACGGTGGCTGAGAGGGGATATGCTAATGACGTGAAGAGTTTGAAAGGTGCATACACTGAGGAGGCGGGGAGTTATTTAGCCTGGTAGCTGAATATTGCCAGGAGACACAAAAGCACATTAAGCAAAGGGAGGTTTAAACTAAACACTGGATCCCAGAATAAATATAACATTTGGCGATGTGAGCAAGATTGTGGAAATAGGTTGAGATGTTTAAAATACCAAAATATTAAAATTTGCATTTCAAGTACACATTTATCCAAGGGCAGAAAATAATAGAGAGGAACAAGAGAAGGGCCCACCATTAGCCAAAGGGCTTTATTTCACCAGAGAAGTTAGCAAGAGATTGAGTGTCAGATTCTGGTCTAAGAGCCTTCTTAAAGTTGCAAGAGTATAGAGAGATGGTGACAGGACCCCTGGGTTGAAAGCAGCTAGTCAGTGGGAACTGACAGAATGGGAGAAGTGTGCCTGATGGGGGCCGACACACGGGGACACAGGGAGACAAGCAAGAGGATCTGGGTGCATTTTAAAATTCTGTGACCCAAAGATTTACATGGTGTGCTCCATGCCTTGAAACAAGAAACCACAGTTGGTCAGATGAAAGGAATGGCATTGTGCCCATTTCCACCTGGGGCTTTGCTGGCGTCTCCACACCTTTTCCTAAACTAATAAATCTGCATAGCAGATCCGTCCTCGGGCAGAGAGGCCCCACCCCCACCTTCCCACAGCAGGGTACTCAGCACACCCACCCTTCCCTAGTGAAGGGGACTTTGTTAGGATCATTAAAAGGGAGTGGATTTATAACGCCACACTTCGTTCTCTTAAGCTCTAGATTGTGTTGAATCAGACTCTAGTTTCTGCTTGTGTTTCTTAATTCAGCTCAGCTAACTCAACAAAAATTTATGGAGTAATTAATCTGCACCACACCCTGCCCTGTGCATGGGGATATGGCAAGACATGGTACCCCCAAAATTTACAATCTGGTTCTTTTGCTTTTGAGCAACAAAAAAGCTCCCATTTCCTCTCATATCACTGTGGATCAGTGAGAAATGCTCTAGTGAACCAGGAGAGATTATGTGTTGTGGGCCGAGTCTCTTGCGGGTACAAGAAAAATAGACTAGCAAGAAATGCCAGGAAGTGTAAGAGTTTCAACTGAGAGGTCCAAGGGATACAGGGAGAAGGACAAAAAGGGCCCAGAGGTGTTGTTTAATATTTTACATTCTTGTCAAACTTGTTGCATGAAGGAAGACCAGCTAGTTTCTCTTACCTGTGTTTGGTTTGCACCTTGAGACTCCACTGCTGTAGTGAACCAGCTGTGTCTGTTGTGTCCTGGACATAGCGACGGCCAACAGAGTGATGGAAAGCGATCATGGGAGAAGCAAAAATGCCCCGTCTGCCTTAGGAGTGGGGAGCATTTAGGGGAAACTCCTCCTTCATCCTCAAGGAGTATTGGGGGAAATTCTTTCTAGAGACTTGAAAACTCATTCTGTGAAAATTTGTTTCATTATCTGCTTATCAGGCAAAAATAAGATGATGAATACCCACTTTAGTCCTCATGTAAGAATAAATCCAAACCCAATAAATACTACTTTATTTTCTTTAGTTCACCTTCATATTTACTTTCATAGGTGCCATCTTCCCAAATGGGTAGGGTCTTGCTTGTTGCTAAAAATCATCTTTCCCTCTCCTGGTACTGGCTTATATCTTTCAAAATGCAAATTGAAATTCAAAATGCAAGATAGGAATCCATTATCGAGCATTTCTAGGTGTTTCATGGGGAGTGAGAATAAGTCAGTGTTGTTGACCCTCTCCAGGAAGCCCATGCTCCTTCTCCCTTTCTTCTGCTAACAACTGTGTACCCACACGGGAGTGAGGTTGACGGATAGCGAAGCAGGGCAGGGCAGAAATCCTAAACCATTCAGAACTCATCTTCAATTCTTTTTTTCATTATAATCCACCATTATTCTCAAAATCAATAATGCTGTCTTACTGTAAATCCCACCTTTGCACTCTAGAGTTTTAATGAGCTTACACCTACCTAGTTTGGCCTCCAGTTGTCAATGTTGCCACTTGTCTTCAGGGTATTTATATTCAGCTAGAAGATTCTTAGCATCAATTAGCTGGCATGGCTCTCAGTTCACAGTGCAAGTATTCAGGAAAGATCTATTTTCCCTCCATGCCCAAATTCTTCCCACCGAAACCAATAAAGTAGACTATTCCCTTTCCAAGATTTCTGTTTTCTTTCCTACCACATTCTACTTCTGGGGCATGAGAAGTCATGTCTGACTACTTTCATGAGTGTGGAGAAGAAAAAAAGGGGAAAATACAGACAGGGAAAAAATAGTCTTTTATAATAATATGCAGCTGTATGCTTATAGACTAATACTAAAAAGTTTTCAGTAGAAGTGTGTGCTAGATAATGTGCAGGACTCCGAAACAGTTTTATGGAACTACCACCTTTTTGTTGTTGTGATTGCAACGTTTCCTCAAAACTAGCAATCATGACAGTTGACAGACTTGAAGCTTGGAGTATTCCTGATAGTCGTGTTATATAGAATGTTATCCAAGAGGATCTAGATTCTATTGGGAGCCTAGTTAGCAGGCTTAGCTGACATATGTAGACAAGGAAGTTGCCTCTGTGCTGGCTGGCTGTTATGTTGATTTGGCCATGAGGGAATTTCCAGAAAAGAGAAACAGCTTGTGGCATTTGAACAGAGCTATTAATTGGTGCTATAGGATGACCAGGAGCAAGTTTTCTGCATGGTGGCAGGACTGTGTTGTTTAGTACCCTCCCAGGTGCTCTGTCCTAACCCCACAGCAGTGCAGCTTGTAACTTGAGGGTGAGGGCAGTTGAATTTAGCTACAGTCATTAGGGCTTTCTGGCCAAGCCCAGATTCCTTTCCTCTTCACCTTCTTTTTCCCTTTTTCCTTCCCCCAACTCCATCCCTCACACGCCCCCAGAGAAAGAAATTTAATCAGGGAATTAAACAAGCTTTCCTATCTTGAGATTTCTTTACAAAAATTGACACATCCAACTTTGTGGAACCTTCCAAAAAGCACCTCCAGACCCCTAATCCCTCCTGATTAAACTAATGATGTTTAGCTCCCTTCCCCTCCACCCCCACGTAACAAAATGCACCAGCAGCAGCACATTCTCATGGATCTGGTCCATGGCCCAAGAGCCTCATTGATGATGTAGTTTGACACTGAACTGCAAGATAGGATTTCAAATACGACATTTGCAAACAAAATTCCACATAGTCTGGTGGAGAAGAATGACAGTTTCTCAAAGGAAGCCACTTGTCCTCATAACAACTTTAGTTGAGAGAGTGTTTTGCAGCACGGTGTAATTGATGATGCCAGCACTTCAATGGCTGACCTACACAACTCGTATGCACCTCCTCCGAACTCCCACTTTCCTCTGAGTCTTTAACCAGTGGCTGATGAGTGTGATGTATAAACGCTCTAGCTTCTTGACGCTTGGCCAGGACAACGGTGAAGTGGGGCCTGTGCTGTCCCCAGAGCTCCCTGAGGGATTGTGGTGCAATGCCAGGTCTTGCCCCACAGAGAGCAACAAAAATCCCATTTTCCCACTCCCCTACCAGGTTCTCCTGAAAACACTTCCTCCTTACCGTTTTCACATGATTTTTTGTCTTGGCTGGGGGTTGCCTGTATAGAACCTGACCTCAGACAAAGCACATTGTCAAATTATTGAAAAGCCATGAAGATTTATTGCCTCTAAAATGAAAAAAAGAGGTCATCTGCTGCATATTTTAAACCTTAAAAAAAAATCTTGCAAACCTCTGTTTTTCAGGAAGAGAGTTTGAAGGAGAAGAAGAGTATCTGGAGATCCTCGGCATCACCAGGGAGCAGTCAGGCAAATACGAGTGCAAAGCTGCCAATGAGGTCTCCTCGGCGGACGTCAAACAAGTCAAGGTCACTGTGAACTGTGAGTATGGCAGGAGCCAGCAGGTGCCCAGAGCCCACCTCCACTTTCAGCCAGCTCTGAAGATCCCGTGAGCAAAAGAACACTGCATTTCAAGCAGATGCCCCTCTGGTCAGGGATGCACATTTGTACATCGGACACATTCAAGGGCAGGATTTGGCCTTTGAATGTGATAAATCAACTCTACCAACTCTAAATATAACCCATCATCCATTTAACAATATGCGCTGTCTTTTATTCAGACTACAGAATTAAGAAAACATGATCAGATAGCCCTAGCATTTCTGGCGATCACTATTCTGGTCTTTGTGGAGAGCAGGATCATACCACTTTGGAAAAATCAACAATTCTTATCTGCTTTAACTGGAATTTCCACCTTAATGCACTGTTTGTCAGAAGGGAATGATTCAGGATAATACCTTATCCCCTGCTATTTAACTAATTGGGCTTGGGAACAAATTCAAGCCACTCTGGTTAGATACCATGTGTCCTGATGACTACCAGGGTCACCTGATAGGTTAATATTGGTTATCTATTTGTCCTAAAGCCTGGGCATTAGAAAGGAAGATTTCACTAAGATGCATAGGTAAGTGGGCATACTTTGAACTTCTCAGATGAAAGGATCCTTAGATGTAGTTCAAAAGACGGGGGGAGGGGGCAGATCCATATGATGTGTGTCACCCAGCAAAGGAATAAAGAGAATTCATTTCAGTTCGAATGTTCAGTTAGGAGTGACTTTCCACATCATTCAAATTCAAGTTCCACATCACATAATTGTGGCTAGTTATAGGGACAAAGGGATGTCCTGACAGTTCTTCTCTCTGGTGCTATTAACACAGCCACACACACAAACCCACACATATATATACACATGTATGCACATACAACACGCATGCACACATGCACGAAGGCACACAGACATACGTGCATAAACATCTTAATCTGTATTTGAAAATATGCTTTGGACGATAAGTTACCTTCCGTTATCTTAAGCCCTCCATGCCATTAACCTATGTTCCAGAGATTCTGTATAAAGTCCTTAGCAAAGTAGATGTAATTGAGTCCATTTTAGAGTTTGAGACACTGAAGCTCAAGGAAAGATAATTGCCTTTCCAAGGTGACACAGAAAGCAACTATGTAAAAAAGGAATTTGAAAGGAAAGTTTTCAATTTTCAGTACCTACTATGTACAAGAACTGATTAAGGGATTAACACTTGTCATTAATCCCAACACTAAACTCATGAGGTGATCATCATTAATCTGACTTTAAAAATTTGTAAACTGAGGCAAAGAGAGCTGAGGAAACTTGCCTCTGGTGACCTAGTCTGTGCTGGGCTGCAGTATTTCCTGGGGCCTTTCTCCAGCTTGGCAGCCTTCAGAGACAGAAAGCGAAATCCCCTTCACACCAGACCTAGCAGAATCCAATAGACAGGATTCTGCAGTAGCATTGATGACACTCATTTCCAAGAAGCAAGGGGCTGCATTTGATGAGGTCCAAAGGGCTTTTATCCCGTCGCGGTCTGCTATTTCTTAAGTAATGGAGTTTTGAAATGCCAGTATTACTATTCTTTTCCAGTCCTGGGTGTGTTTCAAAGACACAGTAATGATCTCAATGTTATAAAATGCTTTAGGACCTTTTTTTTCACATGAAAGGCAGTTTCTCTGGGTGTTTATACAAGTTTATAATTAGGTTGGTTAGCTTCTTTCATGTGTACACAGCCACACCATCATCTTCCACCTCTTCTCTGACTTTTGGAGTTAAGATTTTATTTTCTTTTAATTGACCTTCATCTTAATTAGATTTCTGAAAGTCCAATCATGGAGTACATAGAAAATATTTATGCTTCCATTGTGTGAAACATCAAAGCGGTCTGCATTGCAGATGGTTCCCAAGATCAAAGCCGGCCTCCTGGGCCCTATTATTACTAGAGCAATTAGTCTGACATTACTCCTTCTTGACTGTCCCCAAAGTGTAACTTAGAACAGAAGAAAATACTGATAATTTTCAAGAAAAGCCTTTTATAAAAATGTGAGCTTTTCCTCACAATGAGTGAACCACAGAAGAATATGGACAGACCCTTGAGATTCTAAAAAGACTTGTCATAACAAATTACATGGAAATCTATAATGGGCTTAGTGAAACAGCCAGTGTATCCTAACCAGCAGCACCCAGCACATGCCTGACCTTATAAAAATTGCTCAGTAAATGTTTACTGAATGAATACGAGAAAAACTCACAGGTAAACTCTGCCCTCTTAACATTTCTCCAAACTTTGCAAATGATATTTGTCACAAATCAGGAAGCGTGTTCTGAATCAATTTCCTTTGGAATCACCTTTTTGCTAACACTTTGTAAGCTCTGTTTATATTATATTAAAACAACTAGCCAGTGCACCTGTTGTCCTGTTTAAACAATTCATCCTATTTAAACGTACTTGTATTAAGTAGATGAAGAGTCCAAGATGAAATTACAGGACGAGGTCTGGCTAGCAAAAGTCATGCAAATTGAAAAATATCTGGTATCACCTTTGTCACTTCCTATAAGCCTGCCTCCTATGTAAATTTTCCATTATTTAAGCTGACTCCTCTTCCTTTTCAAGACACAAGGTTTGGAATTAGGTCAGGGGGTCAAGATGGCTAAGATAAATAATGGCTAAATAGATTATCATCTTGGAACAGACCCAAAGTACCACTTAAAAAAAAACAACAACAACTCAGTGCTGTTAATTTTCTCCTACTAGCATTTCATTGATTCATTTACTCAACTGCCAACAGATATTTGTTGCAGGGCACTGAGAAGCTAGGGCAGTAAATAAGAGAGACAGAAGAGTTTCTCCTGTTTAGCTCACGAGCTGGATTCTGCAGTCTCCCCTGTTTACTTCTCTGGGGTAATCCTTCTCCACAGTTGATCTACAGCACTGTGCATAGCCAGCTGACAGGCACCATCTATTTTCTAAGTGGTAGGGGGTCCTGGAGTTGACAGAAGCTGCGTATTGACCTGAAACCTCCTCAAGTAAATAAGCTTAGTAAAATTTCGTACAGTAGGCAGGACTTCTGTTTTCTTGTGTCTTACAGTATAGCTGTGAATTTCTTCTGGATACCAGCCCTAGGGACAACTGTCCTTTCACTTCAAGGTTCTAGGTGTAACTCCTCAATTTTACTTCTCACAGTGCATTAAAAGTAGCTACAAATGGATTTGTCTCATCTTATTGTCCAGTATCTCCAATGTCTAGTGCATAGTAAATGTTCAATAAATGAACTTAATTTTATTTGGACTCTTCTTACATTGGAGGTTTCTCCCATTTCTGGAGAAATCCGTCTCAAAAGCCACCCCTACCTCTCAAGCTTACCCTCTACCCCATTGGCCAGCTAATACTTTCCCACAGCTATCTCTCCAACCAGGTTCACATCATCACTCTTTATGACTCTTTTTTCCTCATGTCCCTTTGAATTCCACCCTGCCTCTGCTCCAGTGTCCAGAGCTAACCAACCCAACATAGATGCTGGGGGACATGGGACACTGGCATTTCTAAAGCTCACCCTTACATGTGATAGACATTCATTTAGAGGAAGCAGAGGTTACCTGCCATAGAAACCACAGTTAGGACTGGAGACATCTGTCGTTTCCAGGTAATATATCTGTATTTTTAGTGGACTCTTCTACCCTTTGGTTCAAAAATCACCTAATGATAAAACTTTAGGAAAATAACTGCTCAGTATGGAACCAGATGGGCTACCTTCCCTAGCTGTTCGTGGCTACACCTCTCCATTCTCCACGGCAGTCTTTAGTTTACTGTTATATTTGGGATGATGTCAATAAAGATGCATCCTAATGTTTATGAATCTGTTATGGGATCATCAGAGGAAATATTCAGTAAGAATCCAGGGAACTGCTATTTTCTACTATAACTTTGTAACTTGAACAAAACCATCATTTTCTGAGAACCTTCAGAGTACCAAGACTCTGTTAGAGATTTTGTGTGAGTCACTGTAATCATCACACCAACAGTGGCCAGCCAGCGAGGGAGGTGTCTGGGGCCTGGCCTGCCCCAGTAGGAGGAGTATTTACTTCATCATTGACACTGTTGAGCATGTTTGGTTTAGTATTGCTGGTACGTGGTGATTTTTTTTTTTGTAAAACAATTTTAGTTAGTTTTATTATTGTTTTTAAATTCTCTAGAAACAGTGCCTTTCTCATTGCCTGAGTTCTCTGCCCTCACCCCGTTGGTCCACCATCACACACTAACCTGAAAGATAATCAAATTGACTCCATGCACAGGGCAAAACCAAAGCTCAGAGAATGTAAGCATTTTCTGCCACAAAATCAAAGAACCTGTGAGTGGTAGAGCTGGGACTCAACTCAGGTCTAACTCCCAGGCCCTCTTTCCTTCCAAGATACCATGTGAGTAATAGTAATAAAAATAATAAATGTAAGCACTTCAGGTGTTAAACATGCTCTCGTATACAAGATTGCATGTGATATTTACATCAAATCTGTGATGCAGGTAGGCAGGTGTTTTCATAAACATTCAAAGATGATGGGCTGCAGGAGGTCAACACATCGCCTTCAGGAGCTGACAACCTGAGTGGCACAGGTAGAAGGTGAGTCAGAGCTCCTGATTTCTAATGTGGATCTGTATCCACTATGCCACTGTATTTTGTACCATTTTTGGTACCCTGCAATAGCAGAAATAGCAGGAAAATAATTTACCTTTTAAGCTACCAGCATGCTCCTCTAAATGGTGTTTTTCCTTATTAGGAATTAATTTCTCTCTAAAGGAACTCATTCAAATGGAAGTGCAGAGAGCATGAGCTTCAGAACATGGGTTCAAATATAGACTCCATCACGTGCTGGCTGAGTGCATTTGGACAAGTTACTAACCTTCTGCAGGTCTATGTTTTCATTCCTAATATGAGGTTAATAATCCTTACGTCCTAGGGCTACTGTTTGGATAAAGAGAATAAATAAAACCTCATAAAGTGCTGACACATGGTAAATATCTATAAACTGAATCTTTTATTCAGGATTTTGTTCCTTTTTACTATTATTCCAAACATTAGGAAGATTAAGTGAATGATACTCTGTTTGCTAGGTCATTGTTATCCTATTCATTCTACTTGAAAGAGTCTTGTTATTGGTGATATAAGAGGAAAGCCCTTATTAACATTTTCAGAACCCAGCATTTTAAAGTAATAAAAACTGGAAGAGTCCTTTGACAATTGTAAGCTATTCCACAGTCATGTAAAGAATAACAGTGGACCTCTGTGCAGCACCGTTATTAAGCCACGTTTTAATTATAACCATATTTTGAGCAAGGCCGTCTATTATTTTAACTGTAGTAAGCCTGCCGCAACATGCCTTGTAATAACTTTTCTTAGCCTCACCTATATTCATTACAAATAAATTTTGAAATGTTCGTTCCAATAAGCTATGGAACAGACTTACACCATTGTGTTATTTGAGAAATATTAGAAGCAACAAGCTCTTCATACATTTATCATTGTCTCTGACTTTGCCCTGGTATGAGGAAATTCCTAGATTTTCAAGGAGAGAAGCAAGTGTTTGGCCTTTGTAATTGACCGATGTCGTCCCGTCCCAAGAATAATGTACTTAAGAGTGTTCAACCCTAGTTCACTGCCACCCTTCCCATGATGGCTTCTCTCAGGAGCTAATAAATAGCTTATTACTTAGGTATTCAGGTTCCAAACAACTTGAGAAATAAGTAAAGGAGACATATGGGAGGCCCAGCTGCACCCGTTGTTAGAGATCAAGATAGTGAGAGGTAGAGCTTAGAGTGGCCAACCAACCTCTCCAGTCTCGGCAGCCCCGGAGAACCCTGGTTCCCTACCAGAGACTTGGTCCCAGAAGGAAGAAGGGGAAGAGGTGAGGAAAAGAAAGTCTGTTCTAGTTTGTTCATTCCCAACTTTTCAGTTAGAAAAATCATTCCTTCTCCCTGGGTCCCAGAGCAAGGAGGCTCACTAGTCTTCTATTACATAGAAGGAAATATCCAGAGTAAGGAAGAACTCTCCCATAAAACTATACAGCCGGGACCTGTGTCCCTGGTCCTACAAGACCTTCATGGAATTTTTTTTTATTTTAACTTTTTTTTTTTGGTGTGTGTGTGGGGGGGTAATTAGGTCTGTCTGTCTGTCTTTCTGTTTGTTTGTTTATTTTAGAGGAGGTACTAGGGATTGAACCCAGGACGTTGTGCATGCTAAGCATGTGCTCTACCACTTGAGCTGTACCCTCCCCGCTCTTCATGGATTATGTTGAGGTGCCCCAGCTTTGAGCACCAGAGGTGGAGGTGATGGAAGATGTGGACTCTGGCCCAGGTTGGGGCTGGTTTAGCAAAGTAGTAGTCATCACTAAAGATTTGTCACTCTTAACCACTTGGCTCCAGAAACTCACAAACGCTTGTTAAAACTCATTTTACAAATTGAGAAATTGAACAAATCGATAGAATCACAAGCAAGATCATCTCTCCAGCCAACATGCTACTGATTGAAGAGTCATTGGCAGTTTAAGAACCTAATATAGTGAAGAGATGAGGACGGAAAACTAATATTTATTCAGTGGATGGCATCACTTAGATGCCCAAGACATAATCCTGGGTGTTATCTTTGACACTCGTCCTCCTTTCCCTTACTTCTCACATGTAATCTTGTGGATTCTGAGGCTCAGACTCTCTCAGTCTCAAATCTGTCCACTCCCTACCAGCTCCTTTATCACAAACTCAGTGCAGTCCTGTCTGGATTCCTTCAGCAGTCTCCAAATGGGCCTCTCTGCCTCTGGTCCCAGCATTTTATAGATGATGAAACTGACGCAATGTGACTCTATAGACAAAGCACTGAACTCTCTAATGAGCGAGGACAGTGAGAAGCAGAGACTGGATTTGAGCTCAGGTCTATCAGACTTTAAATCCAAGGTCTTAACTTTGATTTGATGCCCCGTCTCTCCACAAATATCTCCCTCATCCACACGACTGCCACCAATTTCTGCATTAGCCACTGAACTAATATGCTCTAGTGATCTACATAAGCATTCATAGAATGAAAGAATTTTAAATGGAAGCTTGTGGATCATTTTAAGCTAACTTCTTCTTTTAAAGGGTGAGAAAGAAAAACCCAAACTGATGCAGACACTTGTCCAGGTCACAGTTCTGGTTAAGAGAAGAGTCAAAATCAGACCTTAGTTGTCCTATTTCTGACTACCAATCCTGACTCCCAACCTATGGAATAGATAAATGAGTTAGAATTTTGAAGTCAGCAATTTAAGGGTTAAGGATTAAAGAAGCCATGGGTATGAAAATACACTTGAGTCATAATGCTACCAATTGCCCACTTGTGAAGAATGGGCAGTTTTAGCTAGGATTGGTGATTTTTTTCAGCTGGAAGGGATGCTATATAGATCATTAATGTGTGGTTCCTTCATTTTATAGGTAATAAAACCAAGGCTCAGAAAGATAAAATGTGTGATGGGAAATTCCACACAACCAAACTGAAATTAAATCCCAGGACTCCTAATTTCCAATCTAGGGTTCTTTCCACTCATCACGTTGTCTTTTTGTGTCTATACAAACATGAGCAGGTAAGTCTAAATCCAAACAACCACCACCACCCACTCTGGCGCACCTGTTCACACGTGGGCTGGTGGTGCTTATCCAAATGTGCTCTAACTCCTCCCCTCCCTGACAGTGATTTAAAGATGTCCAAGCTGATGTGAAAATGAAATGGGGGAGAAAATTGCAGACTCACCTGATGCTTTTGTACATCATTTTTAACTAAGAGGATCCAAATCTGCTATAGGCAGAAAACTTAGAAAATAGTTTTGAACATGAAGACAAAAATTCAAACTTAAGTGAGCTGAACCAGGTGCTGAAGAGCAGAGTTAATGAATTTTGTATACTAGATTTTGCTTTACTAATTTACCTAAATAAGCTTTTTCCTTTATAAAATATAGACAGATGGCTTGGGTCTATTTTTTCCATATTCACACAGCCAAGTTCCCATTTTCTGGCAAATGACCATTGGACAGAAAATTCTTTCTCTCCTCGAAGGTCCATAACCTGCACAAACACAGCATCATCAAGCCAAGAGCTCAAGTCTTCCATCCTAGCTCAGTCCTGTCAACCTATAAACATTTGTTCCACTTTCCATAGGATTGTTTGAAAGAATCATGGCAAATTAGCACATCAGATGTGCTTCTGAGCTCATTTCAAGCCCGTTACAGTTTTAGAGGCCTAGTTCCAAGCAACAACGACAACAACAAAAAAAACCCAAGTGCACAATTGACAGAATAGAAGACCGATAGCCCAGGAAGGTGTTTATGCACCAGGTTGGACTTCAGGCTGCACTCTCAGACATAAACACAAAATTTACCTGGGTGATAGCAATAACAGGACACAGAGGAGGGGAAAAAGTGAAATAACCATCTAATATTTGCTTGCTTCTTTTCCTAAATTCCTGCAACAGTATCAGGCTGAGCTTGGGTTGGTAGGACTTGAGCGCTCTGTTATTTTCATGAGACTTCTTACTGCCATCTCAAAAGGTAACAACAGTAATCATGATGATGGTGAAAAAGAAAAATCTCAAATTATACATTTAAAATCCCTTTTAGTATCACCACCTAATTTATAAAAAGAAAAAAAAAACTATACAAATATTCCAACCTATGGTTGGAATAATGGATGGTCTATTGGAGGAAGGGAAAAAAAAATCCTAGATTTCATTTCCATAAAACCCTGTTAAGTGTCTCATTTAAGTAAACCAATTCTACAGTTTCAGTAATCCTCTCTCTCTCTCTTTTTTTTTTTTTTTAGTTTTCTAGTAATCTGTTGTATTCAGCTGATCACAAAATTCATGTAAATGGAGCTTTAAGACTGTTCCTATCCTCTCCCTCTTCAATCAGATGGTCCTAATTCCTTCTTGCATGGAAATTCTGGAGCACCCTCTGATGTCCCTGCAAACTGTTTTCCTGTCCTTCCCACAGATCCTCCCACTATCACGGAATCCAAGAGCAATGAAGCCACCACAGGGCGAAAAGCTTCCCTCAAATGTGAGGCCTCGGCGGTGCCCGCGCCCGACTTTGAGTGGTACCGGGATGACACCAGGTATGGGCCCAACCTGCTGTGCCCTCCCGCTCCACGAGGTCTCCGTGCTCGAAAAGGGGCACCAGAAGCCCTGATGACAAAACCAAGCCCAGGAGTAATTATGTAGGCCTACAGGATTAGACTCTTCCTTTTCCAAGGCTTTTTACCAAGTGTTTTGGGGTCCATAGCTCTTAGACTGAAGCCCCAAATCACTCAGGTTACTTGCAGAGAGTGAGGTAGGTGGTTCAGTGGGTAGTTCCCACCTGCGGGTCTTTCTCGCCTATGGCAGAAACCAAAGCCAGTAAAATCCATCCATTCCCAAGTCTTCTCCATCCATGGACTTTGATTCTGATCATACAGGATTGTGTGATTAAAATGAGGAAGTGAGCAGGAACAACAAGCTCTAAGAACTTCCTGTCTCTTCTTTTTCTCTAATATAAGGATGAGAAGGAAATGACTATGCCACATCTTCATCAGTGTTTCCTTTGACTCTTCTGTCTTTGAACCCTTAGGATAAACAGTGCCAATGGCCTCGAGATTAAGAGCACGGAGGGCCAGTCCTCCCTGACGGTGACCAACGTCACTGAGGAGCACTATGGCAACTATACCTGCGTGGCTGCCAACAACCTGGGGGTCACCAATGCCAGCCTCGTCCTTTTCAGTAAGTATGCCAAAGCAGGGCCCAGCTTGTAAGAACCAAATCCATGGAGTTCTTCCCTGGAAAACTCAAAAATCATTCCCTTAGCTCTTACAAGTAAACTTATACAAAAATCAGAGTGTAGCCACTGAAGCAAAAACACAGGTTCTCAGTCCCTGTGCATAAGGTGAGATTTACAACTGGAATACCTTTCCTCCCTTATCTGGTTTGCTTTTGATAACTGCCTTGCTTTTTGTTTGTTTGTTTGTTTTATGTTTGGGTTTCTTTAATTTTTTTTCATGGTTAGTTAAACTATAAGAATATTCAGAGAACAGAATCTCTTTGGTGATGGCCTCTGTAAGGAGCAGAGACGATGTAAGATCCTAGAAAAGGGATCGCAGTTAAAAACCGGCAGTGATGGGAGGGACTGGGGAAGAGGTATTCAATGAGGATGGCTAAGGTGCTGGGATAAGAGAGAGACTAGAAAAAGAAAGTGTATTTTTAACTACACAAGAGGAAGAGTGGAATGAATGGTTAAAACATAATATAAAATCTAAAGGAGGAAAAATGGTTGCAGAAAGGTTTCTGTGTGACAGCAGGAAACATTGCTTGTCTTATATATTTTTGAAGGCGGGTCAGAATGTTAAGAGAGGAGCAAAGCTTCTTCTACCAAAGACCAAAGAAGCTCCACAAGGCAGATGAAGGAGGGACAAGTTGTTTTAAGTTACTGGTGTTACTGGGAGAGCCCACCTTAGGGCCTTTCTCTTGAGCATCATGTGATAGTCAGATATCTGAGCCCTGCCTTGGTGGCCTGCTAGTTGTGAGCATAGAATCAAATGCCTCCTGAGAAACAGAGCATGATGGGTGAGATCAGGGGGAAGGATGACATTTAGAAAAGGAAAATGTTTATCAGAATGAGTAAAACAAGCCAAAAAGCTAGCACATGCTGCGCCAGAAAGTTCATTTGGACTAAAGGAGAAAGTCCAAAGAAATTATTATTATTATTATTATTAGTAGTAGTAGTAGTAGTAGTAGTAGTAGTAGTAGTAGTAGTAGTAGTAGTAGTAGTAATTTTGCAATAATGTCACTAGGAAGTTTTCGTTGTTTGTTTTTCCGTACACACTCATTTGGAAAAAATCTAGAAATACTGTGGTCAGGAGAAATGGCTCTATCTTCTTTTAAGTTTAGATGAGTCTTTAATAAAAATATTTTTGGAGAAAAACCAATTTAGGTGAGATTTTTCCTTGAAATGTAGTATTAAAGCCATTTTAAAACTGCTCAAGATCCAACTCCACTTATTAAAAAAACAACCACAAACTATTGTGTATTTGGCCTTCAGATTCTCATTTAGGACTCCCACTGACTTCAGTCTGTAAGTGTGACGGACGGGATGCAGCTATACTACAAAGGCTGCATCAGTGTGAAGTTTAAAATTCATATCTCTGTTTACTTGTCTCCAAAAACCAAACATCAGTGTTCTTTGCTTTAGCTGGAGACATCAATATCTCAAGACACTTGAGAAGATACTTATTAAGAAATGTACTTACCTGTTTCACTCCTGACATTGAGGATTCCATAGATAGGGGCAAAACAGCCTCAGCTATGAATTTGAGATTTTGACAAATCTCAGGTGACCTGGTTAAACAGAACAACATACAGTTAACAAGAGGTTTTCTGGGGATTCGAAAAGAGAAAATGATATAATTGGATTAGAGAAAGTGAGCAACGATAAATTTGCATTTAAAGTATCTTTTCTTCCTATGCCACCCAGAAGAAGAACAGCGCTAGTGATATATTTCAAAAATAAATAAAATGATACCTATAGGCCGAGACAGAGGAAGTGGAGGGGGGTTGGAGTAGGCTCTGTGGTAGCCTGTTTCACACAAGTACGAAAGAGAGAGAGAAAGAGAAAGGGAGGGAGAGAGAAAGAAAATATGTGAGGAGAAGAGAGAGCCTGGTCTAGGTCAGATATAGTAGGGATACTGCTGGTCAGCTCGTGGGGGTAAAAGGAATTCTCAGTCCCTAAAATACCATTGCTACACAAAAGCCCACTTAAAGGACTCTACCCAGGAAAATTAAGAAATATCAAGAATCTTATAGGATATCTGTTTGTAAACTAAGACTCAAGAAATTGGGCAAGTGTTTCACGATCACATTGCCCTTGATGATTTCACAGAAGTCACCCTCCCTTATCTATTTGGGAAGCGCTCAGGGCCAGGATTAATGATGCGCGCCTCCTTCCGGTGGGCAGCTGACCCAGGCACCAGCTCTGCCTTGAGCAACACAGAGACAGCACACGTCTCAGCATTCACCTTGCAATCGCTTTCCCACCTTATGGGAAGGTTAGGAGGTGTTGTACTTAGAGAAGAATAGAACACAAAGGATCACTGGGCTTTGAGGTGAAGAGAAGCTATTAAAATCGCCCCAAATTAGTGAATCTACTGCCCTATTTCTTAGACCTAAGGCCCAAGTGCGGACATTTTAAGGGGGAAGCTCTGCTCCTTACATAACAGGAATGGTAGTTGCCCCATGCCCGCCCTGTCGCCAGGATTTGGGTTTGGGAGATGTGTCGTTACAGCTTCAAAGCTTGGGAATGCAGATCTTTGGGAATGAGGCCCTGTGATAGCCAATTTTCCACTGGCAAGAAATTGAGAGAGGGAGAGAGAGAGAGAAAGAGAAGGCAGGGGAGAGAAAGGGAAGATAAGGGTAAAAAGAAAGTGCATGTGTGAACAGATGGCCCATCACCTTGCTTCAAAATACATCGGTTTAATGGGAAGAAGGAAGACACTATTGGTGGCGGTACTTTTCCACAGAACAGGGTCAGGAGGGGAGAGATGCTGGGAGGAGTAGCCGCAGCCAGCCCCCGTGACAGAGAGCGCTATGTGGGCAGCGGGGTGCTCTGCTGACCCAGCCAGTCCAGAGCAGACAAGGCAGCTGGTGAGCTGCTGCCAGCCAGAGGCAGCAGCAGGTAGAAACCCAGAGCCAGAGCCCCCAAAGAGTTCACGATTATCCAGCTTCGTTGGTGCATCAGCACATTTTCAGTGTCCACCGCAGTGACATGTGCTGACTTTGTACACAGTGTCAGTTTGCGGTCACCGATACATACTGTCCTCCACCATATACATACATATGCTTCTTCACTTTTTATGCAAATATTGATCTCCAAAGGGGTCAAAATAATTGAATGAGAGTGCAAGAATGCATTGTATTCACAGAGATTTTCCCTGAGCCAGTGGAAGCATTCCTTCCTCATTTGTCTTGTTCTCCATGCAGTCTAGCATTCTGTTTGTTGCGGATCCATAGTCCTTTAGTCCATATATCCAAGTAATGCCTTTTAAATCTTTTTCTTCATCCCAGGCAAAATGTATATTACATTATTTTTCTTGAACACATTAATCTGATGGTACAATGTGTATGGGCAAGGATTCAGCTCCTTAGTTTCTGTCAGATGTGGGAATATACATCCCATGGGTGAAGACTTGGATTTTGGTGATGCCAAGAGAAGTTCCATTGTCATAACATAACAAATTCCTTGTATCCACACTGATGACTGCAAGGCACCCACAAAGGAAACCTATCTTGTTTTGTTGCTTACATTGAGTTATTTTTAAAGCAACAGTTAGGGAGGAAGAAGAAGGGAGGTGATTTCAATGTCATCACTTCTTGTCAAGTGAGTACGTACAAGGTGCTCTGTGCATGTGCTGAACACTTAACATACATGACCTCGTTTAATCATCAGGACAACCTCACTAAGTATTCATATTTCTCTGTTATACAAAGAGGTTAAGTAACTAGTGCAACTAAGTAACGCTGCTGGGATTTTAATTCAGGTAATCTCCTTTCAGGCTCCAGGCTCTAGACTAACACATTGTCTAGACTTGTACATGTGGGGAAAATGTTAGAGGTATCTTTCGTAGTTTAGAGGCAAACTTCTTTCTCCTTTTCTCCCACAGTGAGGTCTTTTCGCTGACTAGACATTGTTATCTCCCTTCTCACCCTGGAGCTCCTCTCCTGCCACCTCCCACTTCCATTTCCATCCCCCTCATCAGCCTGGGTCCACTCCATTAGTCGGGCCGTTGGCTTATCTGTAGCACCCTGAGATTTTGAGCACATGTTCCAGCCTGGTGCTCAGCTTTTGACCCTAAGAGGGGCATAGTCAACATGTTAAAGAAGGACAGTCGTACAGATCAGTTACCTTCTACTTTAGAGAAACGTGTGGCTTGGTCATGTGTTTTGAGGCTACCGAGTACAATGAATAAAAATACAAAGAAATCTGCTCTGTGCCACATCACTTCAGTGTGTAGGAGGTTTTTAAATTTTCTTTTTAAGTTTAAAAAATCATGAACTTATAAACCTATAGTTGATTCAATCTCAAGTACTACCTAAGCAACCTAGCCCTGGAGAGAGCCCTTAAAATGAGGGCCTCCCCGCTACTTCAGAAGCCAATTTAAGTCATTATCTTTAGGACCCAGAACTTAAATATATAACTCTTGATGATGCCAGTTAAGACTTGGCAAAGCCTCTTAACCAGCTACTTCTGGATGCCACATAATAAAGCAGTTTGAGCACTTATGTGAACACTATGTACGTGTAGTTTGAAAGACTGGCTTCCAAATCCTTATAAGGGTTCTCTGTGGATACAGTAGGAAATAGATGGGCAACAAGACTCATTTTTGTTTTAAAAGCAGGCGATGAATATGCCTACTTCCAGAAAGAACATTGAACACCTGCAATACCCATTGGAAAATAAAGGAAAACCAAATCTAAGTTAACAAATTACCTCTGTAGACACACTCTAACCTCAACTCCAGCTTGTGCCATTTAGGTGCTTTTAATTCAGAGAGGTTTCTTGTGATGCGTTAATGCCAATTTAACATTTTTTTTAATGTTTTTCACCGTATCCCAGCAGAATCAGCCGTAACACCCCCACCCCATTTAGCAGATAAGAAACTAAAGCGCAGAATTAAGACTTACTAAGAGCCACAGCAGATAGTATAGGGGTCAACCTCAGCGTTCTGTTCCTAAAGTCTCCCAGTTGGTTGCTAAGCTATATTGACCTCCTCAAATATTAGCAGCCAAAGGACAGGGCACACAGCACCAAGGTTGCTGGACTCCCCTACTTTGAATATCAAAAGTTGGAAATATCTTTTTTTATTTTAAGTGGTATTTACTTCACTTTATACTCTTACTGGAGCCCGCAAACCCTGACATAAAACAGCGAAATGATGGTGGAAGAATAAAGATAAAAAGCTGGGATGGGGAAGCATCGGAGGAATAAGTCAATAGGATGGAATTAAGAGAACGAGAGGAACTAATGGGGTGTGATGGGGCTAAGATGATGATGACAGGGTGGGGCTAAGACGGTAATAATAAGCTGGGAAGCCGTTGAAGAGGCGATGAGAGGAGGGTGGGTGAGATGGCTTAGCAATATAAATGGTCTTGTCTAAATGAGGACAGAGTGCATTTACCCAGCTGCAAACAGTGTGATGAGAAAATACTAAGCTGAATCACTTAAACAGTCTGAATAATAATAGTAATAATAAAAATAAAATAGGATAGAGTATAATACAGGACAGTGGTCTCCAACTGCTATATAAATACTGAGAGCAGTTTTAACTATCTATTTTCAAAGTGGAAACTTAATACCAAATAACCAGTGGAGGTTTAAAACATTTTTTTTCCCCTTGACACTTGTGTAACTAAGATACAATTGTTCAATGTGCTATTGACCAGCTCCATCTTAATGCACTTAAGAAACTTTGGCATTTAAGCCATAATTTTCATCTAGAAAGCTCATTCTGCAAGGAAACGTCCTGTCCAGGTACATGGAGCGCCCAAATTCCAGGCAAAATCTACTCTTCTGAGCTTATGATACGAGACGGCAGGCAGATCAGAATGGAACATGCACCTGTGCTTTTCCTTTTATGGTGTGGTTTTGATTTTTGTTGATTTTCATTTGCCATTGGTCTTCAACCAAGCTGCTGGGAGGAATGTAGAGAAGTATGCTTGGCTAAAGCTGATATGAGCTGCAGGGCTTAGAGAGAGGAACAGAGTCCTTAGCTGCCATATGTCCATCCGTCATCAGTGAAGGAGCCCAGAACCAGGGCCGAGACACATGAACTGAAGCTGATCACTACTAATTTAAACACTCTCAACCCCACACCCCTCCAAGAAATATATACTTTTGGTGGGTTTTCCAGAAGAAGGTAGGGTCCTGTTTGTAGGGTCACCCCTACTCTAGCTAATTTTTTTTAAAGGCTCTGGATTTTAAATTTTCCCAATAGCTCTCTGATAATTTACTGCTGGCAGGAAGGACAGAGAAATGCTTTATGGGAGATGTGATCCTATAGGCATGAGAATCCGTCTGTTTTATAATTGCCTGAGTAGCTAAACATGAATAAGGTATATCTATATCTATATCTATTTTATAAATTCTCTGTGACGCTTACTATTTTTTCCCCTTTAGAGCGTGTTTTACCCACAATCCCCCACCCTATTCAAGGTCAGTATGATTTTTATCGTTGTAGCTCTGTTGCTGGGTCATTCTCCATCACCTATAATGGGCAAAACCCACAAAGGGAAACACATTTACAAAATTCACGGACAATAGGAATCATTTTTTTTCTTTAAACCTTCCCCCAAATCGATTGCCCTCACCCTAGTTGAGAGGCAGGTAACAGGTCCCAGTAACTGGGGAGACAATGCTAAACTCAGAAAGCAATTTTTGTTCAGTTAGTATTTATTATAGGTAACCATGAATTCACATATTTGAAACACAGCCAGTTAAATTCTGTAGCTCATAAAAATATGAGTCCTCTAACTGACCATCCATGCATTTGTAGGCTTATACAATCCAAATCTGAGGTCACTGGTATTGCTTGTAAAAATGAATTTCTTACTACCAAAGGTTGAACTAAACCACAGCGGACATTACTTTTTCTTAAAATCCTGGCCTATTTGGGGGCTCTTCCTTTTCAACATAACTATTTTAGAAAACACAAATGAAAAAACAAGGTAGTCATTCTGTATTCCCTTTCATAGAACTTTCTACACATTCAAATTAAATTTTGCCTCCTACATCACATTAAGATGCAAGTTGCAGCCCCAACTTTCTGGCTTAAGGCTATTTAAAGGCAAATTGGCAAATAAAATTAAAACAATACAAAAAAAATCTTAAATAAAACCAACCCTACCAACGAAATTAAGTTCAAGAAAAGTGATTTGCAAGTGACACTCAAAGACCTGAGAAAAAATGGAAGTAGGCCATGTGGGGCCTAGTGTGGAAAAAAATAAATCCAATTAAACAAGATTATCGTATACACTATAAGGGATATGCGCTCAGAATTAAAGGTAGAAAGCTGCTGTTTTATAAGTTTGGAGACAGATCGTGTTTCATTAACACTTGTCCAAACTAAAAATTAGGCCAGAATGGGGTGTAGATATGCAGAGTGTCAATAATACAATGTTTTGCATATGTATACATTCACATATATGCAAACTTATTTTAATTATATTAGAAATAAGAAGTGCAAGTTTTCAAGGATGAATTCGACAGCTTAATAAAAGTTATTCTCAAATTTTAAGCAGGGCCCAAACTATTTTTAGAAGAACTCTGTTGAATAAAATTCTTCCCTGAAACACTGATGAAATCTGTTACTTATCCCCGCCACTAAAAATAAGACTGTTAAAATGTGCCTGTTTTTCAGACTTGACATGAAACTTAGTGTTCATGGAAAGTATCCTATTTTGAATTCCTGACATGCCACAATTATTTTAAGACATTTATCTTCTGGTGTTGCTGCAGAGAGTGACACCATTTTATCATGTTGACATCCTGCAGAGATCTTGATGTGACAAACACACACACATACACATTTGTACCCAGTGGATAGCACTTTGAAAGAGGTCATGCTCCATCCAAGATGAGCTTTGTAGAGTGTCACTGTGACTCAGGGTGTCCTTTGTGAGAGCAGTTCTGCAGCCACAAGCTCAAATATTTTATCTGATCAGTCTTTATGAAATGTAAGACACTGAACAAAATGAAGCCAGACACACTGTTCACAAAGGACAGCTGTTTGATATTGAAAAACAGCCCGGATCAGGACAGAGCATGTGGTGTTTTGTTGAACTTGATATTTTTCCACAAATGGAATTGTTGATTGGAGAATGACCCTCGTTTGGTTTTGTGTTGTAGATAGACTGTAGATAGCTTCCTTAGAGCCAATAGTTTTAGAGAATGTAGTTTCTCTTACTACTAATACTGAGGGCTTCTGCTAGTAGAAATTGAAAAGCTGTTCATGGAGACGTGGGGGTAGCTGGTGTGAGAGGTTATTATAGAAGGACAGTGCCCTCTCAACTTCCCTGTTTCTCACGAGGACTTTAACTTTCTAGAATCAAAACTCTTTTCTCCTCTTCTTTCCAATCAAGTTGGCAACCCATGTGAAATGCAGTTTCTTATGGAAAAAAAAAACCTTTCAACATATGGAATCCTTAACTTTTTCATAGTGCCCCTGGAGTACCAAAACATCTAAAATGCCTGCCTCACTATGGTCATAACTAAAGCATGAAACACTTTCACTTAATTAAATAGCATATATTGTCAACATCTATGTAGAATCCTACCATTCCACCCTAAAGTGTTAAGGTGTCTATAGGCAGTTGGTTGATGCAAATGGCTTGAAGGATTTTTGAGCCAATTAATTTCCTTAAGGTGTTTTGAAAATCCCAAGGCTCCTCTTCTGTCCTCCCATCATAAAAAAAAGAGAGAAAGAGAGAACTTTTCTACTTTCCAATAACAGAAACACAAGTTTAATCTCAGCTGCTTCACTGTTAATATCTCTCATTGGCGGGTCACCCCTCCTACCCCCACTCTACGCGGCTCATCAAGCTGACTGGGGATAAACAGCAGAATCGCAGCAGGAATGCCGTCTAAACCCCTTCAAGCTGTGATTAAACAAAAACAAGCCTCAATAAATCAAATGTATTTCCCTTGGGTTTCCTCATCATATTGCTTGATTTTCTGCAGTGATAATAATAATACTGGAATTACACCAAAGGATAATTTACATTGTCTGTGGCCAATCAGAAATTTTCAAATGTCCTTTCCTTTTATGCCAAAAACAAAACCAAACCAACCAACCAAACAAAATAAACCACCATGCTTCCCTGCTCCCTAATTTAAAAGATATACATATATATAAGTAAATAAAACAAATAGTGTTCCATTTTTTATGTTTCTGATAGGTGTTTTTTTCCCCATTAATTTTAATTTAGGTTTATTTATTCTGATACGAGTCCTGAATTGCATATATTTGCATAACTACCCCTGACTGTATCACTGCAGAAAATCCACTGAATTGTCAAAATGACAGAAGAGCCAGCTCTAAATGTCTGAGGGAAATTTTCTCACTTTGTTAAGCTCAAATCATTTCCTGAGGCCTTGGAATCCTAAGAAGTGGTAACACTGCTCCTGTCTCCTCCCCATAAGTTTACCTGTGCACTAGAGATGCTCTCACATTTAGAAGGACCGCAGGTGCAGAATGAGGTGACAACACCCACCTCAGGAAGTTCAGATGAAGGGAAAGAAGAGAAAAGGACAAGGACAAACCACCACTGTTGTGTGTTTATCACCTGCAAGTGAAGAATTCCCTTGAGCTCGGGGCTTTCTGGCCACAATCAGCCCATCCTCTGATTACTGCCACTTTAAAAAAAAAAAACTTAATAGCCCTGGAATCTGTCTCCCTTGTTTGCCTCGCATCTGATTATTTATCCCCAGTGAACAGCCTTTCCATTCACTAACCCCGTGTGGCGAATGGGTTTGGGAAATGTTGAGATTATCTTCCAAGTTCAGGCACTGCACTGGGTTTGTTCACAGCTGCTTGCCATTCCGTTCCTGTTTCTCCATTGATAAAACACATTGCACATGGCTGGGTTTGCATGATTAATACAGCTGTCTAAAGCTCTCTCTGAAAACAAATCAACCCCCCCCCCAAATTAAAGTTTGAAAAAAATTAAAACCCAACCCACAAACTAACCAAGCTTGCAGAAATCTGCAGTCCACCTGGCTTGCTTCCCCCTGCAGGGAGATTGGTGCTGCTGTGGGTGGGCCAGTATCAGAACAGCCAGACAGAGGAAGCGATGCACCCGCCCTCACCTGGCACTCCCAGAAATGGGTTCTCCAATCAGATTCCGCTGGGATGGGAGGAAAACTGGGAGAAAAATCCTAAAAATACCCCATGCTGTGAAGATGACCGGACAACCCTTTCAGCCTCATCTATTTCTGTAGGCTATTATCCCAGGTATCAATGAGAAAATGCTTGTTTTCAGCTCCTTATCATGACAGCAGTTTCATCTTATCTACTAATGATTGTAATATCATTAATAGTAATAATAATAATGGTAATAACAATAGCAGCTAACATAAAGAGTGGGCATCTCATGAACCAAATATTGTACGTATTAATCCAATTAATCTCCAGAACCCTAAGAAACCAACATGCACCTTCTCCCACACTCTCCACCATCACAGTACACTCGGATTCCAGTCTATTCCTTGTGTGCACCCAGGCACAGACATAACTCTATAGTACATTATAAATAACCATTATGTATGCATTGATGCTCATTAGATACATATTAGATATATCTGTCTAATGAATTTTAAATACTTATCTAATTTATTTTATGTATTTTATGTATCTATGCTTATAATATATAATATTCAGTTACCTTAATGTCCATACACTTTTACAAAGTCCACTTCCACGTGTGCTCAACACGTGGACACATATGCCCAGCTCATACAGAGATTTATATGAAAGCACTCATCTTTCAGAAACACAAGCTGAGCTATATCTGGCATCAGCACATCTAATTTCACACACTTATTCAGGCTGATTTACATACACACCTCTATTAATCATGGATAATTACTAACATTCTTCTCTTTAATTCAGTTTTTCTAACTGTGAAATGGGAAAGAAATTACATTTTTCATGCCTGCAAGCTCAAAGTGGTGTTTTAAATAATATATAAAAGAGAGCTTCAAGTTCCTAGAAAGAAAACCTGCTGAGTTCAAAACAATCATATTCAGATACACAGATGTCTTAATTTTCCAAGGTGCTTATATTTAAAGGTGTACTTGTATCACGTTGTCTGGATATTAGTTAGATAAAAGTTGGGTGTAGCTTCATCATAGTTCGACGTATTTGGGATTCTAGGGATGTCTGAAATGCCCAGACTGCTAACAGGTGTAAATACAGAAGTATGCCAAGGCCAAATGCAGAAGACTTTCCCTTGTGTTTTAGCACCATCATAGTATTACACTTAAGGGGCACTGCAGGCAGCCCCACTCCCTACTGTGGGGCGTACACGCACACACTCACACGCTTGCAGTGGATGCCCATGTGCACATTACCACCTGTCACACTAACCCATAAGTATCAACCTCAGGAACCTCCCCTTTTTCCTGCTCAAAGATGTAAAGCATGTCCTACGGAAGGC